ATCACCCGGATGACACTCTTATAAGCCCAGTCTCTCAACCCAGGTGCACCCACTTACACATGCCCACACCCTACTCCAGGTGTCCACTATCAGGGATGCATGTAGGACCGCAGGGATCCATGATTAATGTTAATGGTAGGAGTGCGGAAAATCCTGGAAAATTTCAATTACCCTACATATACATACATACACAGAAAGTTATATATGTATAATGTTGGAGAATGTTGCTTTTGGCACAGTCTGGGGTCCTGCTCCAAGATCAGGACAATTCAGGGAAGCAGATCCAGGACTTTGAAGTATTCTATAAAGGAAAAATTGTTATGTGGCATTTAAAGAAAAACAAGTCTCAATAGAAAACAGATATCCATGAACCACAATCATCAGGATAGCTTTCATGTTGACATCACCAGTTCTATAGAAAGTGGAGCTGAAGAGAATAGAGTAGCAAAGAAAAAATAATTTTAAATATAATGGGTTTTTCTCATCCTTATATTCTCTCTGTCAAAACTGTTTTTCAAGGATCTGTAAAAGTTTCTCTGGCAGAGAGATTTCCTGGTTTGATGAAAGAGGAAATTTCAGGCTTCAAGAGGATAGTAACGGAAGAAGAGTTGGCAATAGAAAGGGTGGGGGTGGGGCAAGACAGATTTGCAGACTGATGAAAATATGATTTTGGCAAATGGATGGAAATTTTCATCTCTACATATGCTCAAACTGGCTGTTGGGCTGCTATAGTATTAAATTATAACTGTATGATTTTTACTAGTAGTACACTAAACTGCCTAGGAAGTTCTCAAAATGTATCTTTAAGATAAGCATCCGAAAGTATGTGTTTCTCCATCTATAAATAACTTCTGCATATGTGTAATTCTAGTCATTTACCTGTGTCTTACTTTCAAATGTCTATGATTTTGATTTATCAAAATAATTATTTAAACCCTTAAAAAAAGTCAGTAGTGTATAGAGAGAATAATGATTCTATGCATCTTCCTGATACTTACAACCAGTGCTGTGAGGAAGCTCCTGATCCACTTTTTCTACAAAATCCTCTATAATTCACCCATGTTGAAGTAGAAAAAAATCATTTGTCTTTGGCTAACCAAAATTTAATCTTCATGTATATTATTGAATTTCCCAAATACTTCTGATATTCTAACAGCAAGACAGAATATAGTTATATGGAGTAGCTATAGTAGATACTTTGTGTTAAGAAAGTAGGCACACACAAAAATGGTATGTGATTGTTGCATGATCACTTATTTTGAATCTGGAGATTTGAGCAGGAAATGATGATACTTTACAAACAAGTAACCTGGACCAACAATGCTATTGACTTGGGACTTTAAATTAAAGTCCCTGACTCTAAATTAACACCCACCACTCCTTGACATTTTTTGTTTTTCATTTTGTTAAGTTATTTAATTTTACTTTCTGTCGTCCTTTTGAGTCACTAAAAGTTAAACTGTATATTATACTATCAAACCTCTACAAGAGCCAAAGTGTAAGATAATAACCCTGACCAGTGCTTCCTAACCTTGAGGAACATTAGATTCAGCTGAGTAACTTTCAAAACCATGCAACACCCATGTCCTACACAGGTCATACCCCAGTAATAGTAATTTTAACAACTCTACCCACTTGATTTTTGACATTCAGGTAGGGTTAAAAACCACTACTTCTGGTATACCCTTTTACACATCACAAGGAGTGCTTCGAAGACCATGTCCATCGCAGCTCCCAGAATATGGAGAAAGAATTACGTATTATTAACCATTTCAATCTATCAGGGTGTAGCAAGATTTTCATGTCAGATAGTAGATATCTCAGCCTTTATAGGTCATAAGATCTCTGTATTACTACTCATTTCTTTTGATCTCTGTCATAACTACTTAATCTTATCATTGTAGCACAAAGCAGAATTAGACACTATGAAATCTATGGACCTCGCTGCAACCCAATAAAACTGTATTTACAAAAATCAGTGACAGGTTGGATTTGCCCCATCAGCAATTGGCTGTAGTTTGCCTGTACATCACCATCCAATTCCAATTTGTAGTGTAAAAATAGTGTTGTTTTTTAAAGATTTATTTTTATTTATACAAGAACTGGACACAGGCCAGAGATGTGGGAGGGTGAGAAGATTCACCAGAGACAGAGTGGGGAGCAAAACAGGAAGACTAACTGAAATACACGGCTGAGGGGAGCAGCGGGTGAGACAGGAGAGGTCTACCACACCATGTGGGTATCTCCCTGGCCTGCTGGGAATGGAACACTCACTGCAGAGGCTGTGGACAGCTTCACATAGTGCTGCACTCAACCAGCTGCACCACCGGGGAGGTCCCTGAGAATATTCTTTATTGCAAAAAATATTGCTGTGGATTAAATAACTAAGTAGTTATTAAACACGATTACTAAAGAAATTACATAAATAAAAATGATGAAATAATAACCTCTGCACTTTTGATGAGATTACTATCTCTAATGATGTCAGTTATTAGTGAATTTCATTAAACTTTATCTAGGCTAGCAATTACAACTTTGTAAACTATACCTAAAGTGTATGAAGAAATTCCCTAGTGCTACTACTGCTAGAAGAAAAGAACTGTTTAATTGTTTTCATAGAAAGTGCCATGGTCAACGATAGGAAGTACTGGATACAGAAAGGGCCACTTTTCTCCACAAGAAAGGCACTACCAATCAGTTATAAGTAAGTGTGGACGTGGCCTCCCAGTATTTCTTAATATTGCTACAGGGAATCACTACAAATCAAAGTTAGTGAACAAGATGAAATCTACGTGACGTTCTCAGCAAAGTAGGAGATGTGTTTCCAGCTCAGATAGCAAGCAGTAAATGAGTCCTATCTCTACGGGTATAAACACCCTTTCTATCACCACACTGCCAACCGTGCAGATCTTTCAGAAAGAATACAGAGGCACATGTTCATATCACAGCTGCCGAGAACTGCAGGTTTTCCAAAGTAGGTAGTCAGCATCTCCCACATCATGTATTATAGCATATTTGGAAGAATGCAAAGATTCCCAGAGAAACCAAGTCATACAAATTCTGTAATTAAAGACTGTAATTTGAGCTTTTGTCAAAGGAAAACATTTTCTACAATTTAGATCAAGTACAGCTTGAAGCAGAGATTTTGGGGCAACTGGCATGGGGCCAAATAAATGTGGGGCACACAAACAGTGATACAGATAGGACCAAAATATTTTATTTTTATAATCATCATTGGTAATTGGTGCTGGCTGTCACCTGGGCAACCTCAGGTCTTCACATGGCTTTTCACCCCCCAGTACCTGTTTCCTTACCTGGTCCTCTTAGGGAATATTCTATGAGACCAAAGGGCCAAAACTGCAGAGCCTTTAAAACATAAGCTCTAGAACTTACACAAAGTAAGATTTGAGAGATGGGAAGAGAAAAGCCCACCTCTTAATGGGAGAATCTAAAAAATACCAAGGCCCATTTTTCAATCTGCCACTCATGTTGGCGTTGTAGTCTTAGCACGTTCTTCTATTTCTTTATAAATCCTGAATTAAGACTTTCCAATTATTATGTATGGGTAACATCAGCAAATGGTCTCTCTGACACCATCTTAAGATTCAGAAACCCAGAGTTGTCAAAATGGTTAAGAGCTTGGTCTAATAAGTCCTGCCACAGTGACATGTATTTCTGTTGAGGAATATTACATTTTACATAGTCACCCTACTTTCATATTTTATTTTGTAGAATCCTAATATTAAAAAGAAGAAAGGACCTTAAACATCATTTAATTTCATGGTAAAGCCTATCAAATCAGGGAGGGCATTTTATTTCATTAAAGTAACAGAATGAGTTCCATGGGGGTAAAAAAAAATTTTTTTTACAACTATGCTATCTTCTTTTTTTGAAAGGTACAATGCAGTAATTTTTAGTCGCTAAACATTTACTAAGGATGTAGCAAATGCATGTAACTAAGGATAAGCAAACCTAGGCAGACAACATAACCAATTCCCTGATTTCTTCCATGAGAAACCCAAGCAGGGAAATTCAGGAGCTTGCTCAAAGTAACAGAGCCAGTTAATAGCAAAACTTGCTTTAAAGCCAAAATCCCCTCTTCCAAAACAGTGTTGTTCCAATTGCTTCATTAGAATAGTTACATGGCTTCAGGAAAAGTTTACCTTGCTGTTCTGAAGAGATCAGAGGTCAGCAAACTTTTTGTAAAGGATTAAATAATTATTTTAGGTTTTTCAAGCCATACAACCTCTTATCACAATAATTCAAGTCTGTCATTATAGCATGGAAGTAGATACATCACCATATTTTAAAATGATGATGCCTCTGTTCCAATAAAATTTTATTTATAATTATTTTATTTATAATTAACAGGCAGTGGGCTAGTTTTGTTCCATGGGCCATTGTTTACAACCCCTATGTTTTTTTTTTTTTAAGTGGACACTATTAAGACCCCCATCCTCCACTCCTTCCTATATCCATACTCTCACCATGTCTTTTTTTTTTAAAGATTTATTTTTATTTATACAAGAACCAGGGAACAGGCCCGATGTGTGGGAGGGTGAGAGGATTCACCAGAGACAGAGCAGGGAACAGAACAGGCAGACCAACAGAAATACAATGCTGAGGGGAACAGTGGGTGAGACAAGAGTGGTCTGCCAGGCCACGTGGGTTGCTCGGCGGCCGGCAGGGATGGAACTGGCACTGCAGAGGCTGCAGACAGCTTCACAGCGCTGCGCTCAACCACATGCGCCACCAGAGGCCCTATCACTATGTCTTTATTATAGATAAACCCTTTATTTGGGCTCAAACAAAAATTGTGGGTTAAATTATGTCCCGCCCACTACAAAATAAGCCATTGTAGAGGGGCCTCCCTGGGTGGCACAAGGGAGGGAGACCTGGGAGACCAGTGTGGGGTAAGCAGGAAGGAAAAGCATCAGGCGTTTCCGCCCTCCCGCTGCGCATGCGCACTCAGCCAAAGGGCATGGCGTGGCTGGCATGGCGCCCTGCAGTGCGGTGCAGTGCGGACGAAGGAGTGCAGTGGAGTGGATGGAGGTGTGTGGCAGGAAGTGGCAAAGTGCCACGGAGTGCGGCGTCAAACAGTGGAGAGCCTGAAGACACCAACACAGCTGCTAGAACCGGTAAAGAACCTACTGGGTATGGGTTGGTTGCGCTACAACAAGCAACAATGCTATTTTTATTAAGCCTCTGAGATTTTTACATAGCAGTAGTTCATTCATTCAAAAGATAAATTTAACATTAGATAAATTCCTAAATAAGACTAGTAACCTCTAATAAAGGACTATGTTTTTTTCCCTGCATGTGCTTTGCCTATTCCACTGAAAATTTAAGTCAACTACTAAAAACATTGTTTCCCTCCCTAATTCTACCCCCATTCCTTTGTTTCTCCAGTCAAAAGAGTCATGATATGGAGAGCATTTGAATGGATCCACAGATGACTTGCCTGTTTGCTTTTATTCAGGTTAGCAAAATTGTTTTTCAAACCCTGTCCTTACTTACAGTTGCAAAACTTTGCACTGCTTTCAGCATTCTTACTTTGTCAGCTAGGCTTATTTTTTCCAGCTTTATTGAGTTATGCTTGAGAAATAAAATGTACATAAGTATACAACATAATGATTTGGTGGAGATAATTTCTTAGGAGGTATATCTATAAAGAGATATTTTTGTTGTTAATTAATGCAGTCCATTAAAGTGCAAAGAATTATAAAAGACTTTTTAAACAGACATACAGTCAATTCTTCAACTCTTTGGTATTCTGAGTTTTCTGAAAGTTGTCCAAACTTTTGCTGCTCGGTTTACAATCAATAGAATTGCACTAGTAAGTGTCTTTGTTTTCTAGGGCTGCCATGACATAGCACAAAACAGTTGGCTTAAAACAACAAAAATCTATTGCCTGGTGGTACAGAGGCTTGAAGTCCAAAATTAAGGTGGACTTATCCTTCTTGTTTTTCGCTTCTGGTGCTTGCTGGCACCACTTGTTTCCTCTTGGCTTGCAGCTGCTATACTCCAACCACTGTGTCTGGCTTCATGTGACTCCCTTCTCCCTGTGTACCTCTCTTATCTTTTTAAAGATGCCAGTTAAATAGAATATAGGGCCCAGCACATGTTGCCCACTGTAGTATTACCTCGTCTTGATTGAACCAAGTATAGCTGCAAGGACCCTGTTTCCAAATAAGTTCACATGCTAAAATATTGGGGGTTTAGGCTTCAACATAAAGCTTTTGAGAGGCAAAACTGAATTCATAAACAATTGTTTTTCAGTTTAGTTTTGCCCTTTTTAAATCCAAGTGATGTTTCCTTCATGCGAATTTTACCCAGGAAAGTATAAGTGTAAGTCAGTAGTCAGGAAAATAAATCAGGGGCACTGGAGTTGAAGGAACAGGGTAGGCATCCCAGAGACCAGTCCATTCACTCACCAATTCCCCTTTTCAAATTCGGACTTCCAATAGTGCTTCAGAAACCTTGGTCTATGTAAATTCTGAATTGGAATGATTTTTCTTACAAATATAAAATGTTCTTTTTCTCTTTTTAAAAAGTTTTTATTGACATGGCATTGCTTTACACCCTTGTTAGTTTTTTTGGTAGTATAGAATCACATGTGTTTTCTCTTAATTAATGTGTTAAGTCTTTCCTATTGGAAAATCAAATGTCGTGCCCCTGATATTAGTTACGATATGTTATTAAAATTTCTCCAAAGAGCTACAATATTCTTGGTTGCTATTGTTATTTCATCTGGTTTCTACATATACCTGACTTATTTTTATTGTTTATCACAAACTCAGCTTAAAAGGCTTGGGGTGTTCAAAGCCTACATCTTCCAAAGACATGACTGGTCTTTGACAAGTGCCTTGGCAGAAAAAGACTTAAGTCCTCAAAAAATTTCTGCTTGATAATTGAGTCTTTGTGTACCCAGGTCTTCGACCCTGTCAAAGTTGAGATTAATAATAATTGATGGTGTTTATGGTGGGGGCTTGGATCATACAAAATCAGCATGACCTCTAGAGAGACTGGAGATTGAATAATGAAAACCAGCCACTTGGGCTCTCCATACCTATGGGACCGTCCTGCAATAAAAGCCCTGGACACCAAGGCCTAAGTGAGCTTCCCCAGTTGGCAAAACTGTGTGTGTGTTGTTACACACCATTGCTGGGAGAATGCAGCACTGTTCATTTAATTCTACTGGGAAAAGACAACTGGCAGTTTATGCCTGATCTCTCCTGGACTCCATTCTATGAGCCTTGTGTCTTTGCTGATTTTCATATGTATCTTTTGCTATAGTAAACCAAAGCTGTGATTATAACAACTATTCATAGAACTGTAAGTCACTATAGCCAATAATTGAACTTGACAGTGGTGTTGGAGACCCACAAACATATAACCATTTGTGCAAATGAAACTGAATAGAAAATACAAGATGGTAACTAAAAACTTCTCTTTGAGTATACGTGGAATCACTGTTCCCTCTTCTGTTATACATGTATTCTTTTAGTAGATATGTATGTGAAATTTTCTCAAGCCCATGTGTAAGACACAAGCTATTGAAACTAGTGAGGGTCTGAGTCAGGCCCCCCATTTTGATAAAAGGACCTCACTACTACCATTAACTCACCTAACCTCTGCAGGCCACAATCTATCCTTGTCACACAGAAAATTGTCCTCCATACTCTTGTGAAGCCAGATTTCATAATTTAAACTGACCTATTTGCTGGTTATGAAACCTTGAGAAAATTCCAAAAATTCTCTGAAATTTAGTTTCCTGCTTACAAACAAGAAAGCAATAAACATCACACTGAGTTATTGTGAAGTTTAATGGGATAGGGTAAATGTAGCTTAATAAAAATTATTAACAGAAATATAATAATGAACCTGCTTGCTAAGGAGGATCTTGTCTCTCCATCTCATTATTTTCTCCTCCCCCACCTTCCAAGAATTCTGCCTTTGCTAGGTTCATTATCTGGAATTTGGTGGTGCAAAATCAGAAAAGATGGGGCCTCCCTGGTGGCACAAGGGGTTAAGATGCAACCTATGAAGCTAGCTAGGCACAGCCACTGCAGCATGAGTTTGATCCCTATCCAGGGAGCTACCAACATGGCTTGCCTGCTGCTCCCCTCAGCAGTGTATTTCAGTCAATCTGCCTGTTCTCTTTTCCATTCTGTCTCTGGTGAATCCTCTCACCCCCCACAACTCTGGCCTGTACCCCAGTTCTTGTATGTATAAATAGATGAATCTTTTTAAAAAAAATCAGAGAAGAGTAAAGGGTAGAAGGAGAAGATGTACATAGATGATGGCTGAGGAACGAGCATTTCAAGTTGACTTGAGAGAGTTAGACCTGGCAACCCTTTGCAGTCAAAAAGAAAGTAGAAAGGACCTCAAGTTTAAGAACTGTTGTATCCTCTTCATAATATTTTGGAAACTGAAGGCTAGACCTAAGTAACACTTTGCTGCCCGATTTATATCAAAATCCTAGTTGAGCAAAATGATACAGAAGACTGCATGGAGAATAGTCTATTTCTCTGTAGAGTAGGCCAAATCAGCTCAAAGTAAACTTCATATGCTTCTATTCATCTTGTTTCCCAAAATTCTTTCATTGAGTTTCACTTGAGCTCTATGTCATTAACTTATATTAACTCAAAAACATATTGTATTTGGGAATTTTTTCAAGAAATTTCATTCACAACCTACTGCCAGAAAAATGTGTTTCCCTGAAGATCTGATGTATTTTTTCCCTTCTGTACAAGGATAAGCATACAATTTTGGCTGCCCTTAAGACCAGAGTCAAAGTCCTAGTCAAGCTTCTGAAATGATCTAAACCCAAGTTCTATTTGTTTGCATTTGAACTGCCTTTCTAATGCTTTCTTGACGACCAAAATAGGTCACTGGATGTAGAGGAGGATAAGACGATGTGAACAGGCAGATTTTGAAGATATCAGGAGAGGACAAGGAAGCTAACAGATTTCCTTTATGTGTGGGGGTGTATACCACTGAGTGTATCCTTAAGACAAGCAAAAATAATTCAACGCAAGTTTATGAGCCACAGTAAACCAATAAAAATAGAGCAATATGATAGAGCTTCAAGAATCAAGCCTAAATGAAAGAAACTTCTCATGAAACTTGACCCAGCTTAAAAGATCTATTTTCATGTATTGTGTATTGGTTTGAGGATCCATGCAAAGGATTCAGTTTATGATTGAGTGGTTGCAAAGTGTACAATTTCTACTTCAAATACCAGGAGATTGAACCTTGGAACCCCACCAGAAAAGACTAAATTGTACTTAAGGATTTAGAGAGATTTAGCAGCGAGGGGTGAAAAAGTTTGCACCTGAACAATCTAGGCAGTTATGTGAAGTGCTGTGCCATGCAGAGTACCCATGGCTTATCTCTGTGATTGTTTCAACCCTAGACCTAGATTAAAAGAGAAAATACTTGAACCATTATTGACTCCAGAAGGCAATATAATGAGCTTTCTTTTTGAGGGGCTTTTTATTGGTCTCATGAGCCAAGTCCAGCATGCCCATGTCTGTTTTCCTTTGCTAAACTTATATTAAAATGCACATATTTATTTAATTTTAGTCAAATAAATCAAAGACAAAAAAACATAGACTCATACCCAGTCAGAATCTTGGGAATCATGTAGACCTAGTCCTTCATTTTATGGGTTTGAAATAAAAATTCAAATATGGCTCTATTGATATCACAGAACTCAGGATTCTGGATTCCAATATAAACTCTATTCTGTAAGAAGCACATTGGGTTACTTTACCCAAAACACTACCAGCACAAGCTATAAAAATGAATTTGAAGCTACGTCTGGTACAAAAACAGACTCACAGCTCTACTACTCCTCATACCATACCACAGCTCACATTTGCTTTTTTAATATAAAATCATCTCAACTTTATTTTTTTCATTTTCAAATTCCTATACAATTTGCATATTTCATAAAATCCCAGGGGACTTTATTGAGCATATGTGTTGACAGTATAGACAAATTTTACCTTCTGACTTGTTACTACATGTCTTCCTTTATGAATCTCTTGTGAGAGTTTATGACTCAAGATTCCCTTTAAAAATCTCATTAGACCAATATTTCTATATTTTCACTAAGGGTTAGTTATTTCCTTTAAATTCAAAACTGTAATCTGCAGCTATAAATTTTCTCCTCAGTAAGATGAGCATACTTTGTAAATTTTTAACTTACTTTTATCTTTCAGCTTCTTCCATCCAAGGTTGTTTGCAGAAAGACTTTTTTATCCTTATTTTCATTTTACAAGTATATCTTCCACCTGTGGATCATCCTCTGTCCCAAGTTAAAGGAAAGATAAAAAACAGAATCAAAGGTACATAAAAGTCATAGTGGGTGCATTTTAAAGATCATTACTAATGCTTGTTTTATTTACTTTAGATATTGTGTGTACTTTTAAAAAATAACAATATCTATCATCACTTTAAGAGCATATTTTCTATTATAATATAGTCTATTATTTCTTCTTATTTCTAAAAAAAAAGGTACTTTTGTTATATCCAGCATAACTGATAAAGAAATAGGTTCACAGATGATATTTCTGTCAGTGAAAAGTTAATCAAACAGACAGTTTTTCTCAGTCCAACTAAAATATGAGAAACTTTTTGCAAAGATTAAAATCACAGTCTCAGATTAACTCAAATTTGGAATCTTCAGCAGATACAAAGGGTTGAGGCGAAATTCCTCAGAATGACTTTTATAGCTCTCATTTATTACTTCTTCTCAATGAGATTTAGTGTAGTATATGAAGTTACTAGATTCCATTCTGTTTTTAAATTCTGTTCTCTCCAAATTTGTTTGTCCCCATTTAAATTCACTAATTGATTTATCACTAAAAAGTGATTCTATAAAATCCTTTCACAAACATATCCTCTTAGGAAAGATCGCATTCATTATTAGGATGAGCTTCAAGGATATGATCTTAAATCTTAAGTATTTTTCCTGGAGCATTTCAGGGACACTTGCCTCAGGGAAATATATTCTGAAGTCCAGCCAGTGTGGCCACAGCCCAGACAGTTCTGAAGTTATTTTAGTATAGTGCTCTGTGATATTTTTATCCCTATTCTTTGCCCTCCTTACTGTAGTATCACTTTCAGAACTATACTTGATACATAAAGAAAGAATAGGATGGTGCCAAGGAGAAGTAAATATTACTAGAGTAGAGCTAGAAATGTTAAAGGTTTGTTGTTTATTTATTCTATTTATAAAATATGTCTCTATGTTTTTGTATCTCCACTTAAACATTGAACATATACATAGATGTACACATGTGAATTAAAAATCTATATGTAATAAAACTACATTTTCATGTTGCTGTATGCAACTGATTAGCATCAATCTACATATACATATGCTTTAAAACAATCAATCACATTTAGTTGTTTGCCAATTTAACTATGTATTAAGCAGCTAATTTTCATATAGTTAGTTAATGGCGCATGTGTTTTTAATGATCATTTACTGTTTATCTTTGTGTGTATCAAAGCCCGATATTCTTTTTTTATTTCTTGGCTGTGCACTGTTCACAACACAGTCTATTTCCTTCAAAATTTTCTCTCACTGCAGACAGTAATTTTCAAACTGCAGGAAAAAAAATGCTTCATGAATATACTGAAAAATCTTCTGCTTTTACCTTTCCTCTCCTCCCATCTTGGGTTTCTGGTCTTCCCACACACAAAAAAGGGAGCATATCATTACTTTTTGGGAAATTATGATTCTAAAATCTCTTTCCCCTGTTGACAATTTCTCACATGAATTCTGAGTGTTCAAAATCTCACATAAAATATTTGCAGAAATACATTTTTTAAATTGTAAGATCTATCAGTTATGTGAACCACATGTTAAGTTTCTATTATTCTTCCTTCAATATTTATTTTATTATAGTTCATTTATATACATTTTTATTGTCTTTGATGACATGTCTGGGTGCTCTTTTAATGCGATACTCTTCCAGTTTAAGAAAAAAATGCTAAGTTACTCCTCCAATGAGACTTCCTATACCATTGAATTTTTAAATTCCTGTACTACCTATAGTATTTATAAGTTAATTTTTTTAGTATTTTCTAGACCTGTCATTTTCTTTTTGTTGGTATAATTAGTTTATATGTTTTATCCATGATGAGACATGTTCTGGTTAGTTTTTCTTCATTGCTTTCTCTTTTTTTAAAGATGTATTCATTTATACAAGAACTGTATAAATAAATATACAGGCCAGAGGTGTGGGAGGGTGAGAGGATTCACCAGAGACAGAGCGGGGAGCAGAACAGGCAGACAGACTGAAAACACTGCTGAGGGGAGCAGCAGGTGAGACAGGAGAGGTCTGCTGCACCATGTGCGTATGTCCCTGGCCTGCTGTGAGGCTGCAGATTGCTTCATATCGCTGCGCTCAACCCGCTGCACCATCAGGGAGGCCCCTTCATTGCTTTCTTATTGAACTTCACATCCTCAGAAAGTTCACATCCTCATCTGCAACTGGTTTAGGACCTGTCTTTTATTGTCATAGCTAATTCCTTTTCAGCAATCATTTTCTCTTTTATTGCTTCTCAAGAATAGTGATTATAAGCTCATGTACACACCCAGCTCTGCTTTCAGCAAGATCTCAAGCATCACAGATTTCTTCTCCAGGCCATGGACTCTGCTCTCCCTTTGTTGGTGCAATAACTGGTTCCCTGGGCATGGAGTTTTGAGCACGTCTCTTTGCTTGTTGAACTTAAATCATTGGATTCTGTTATTTTCCCTTTTTAGCTGATGCTTTCTTTTTTTTTTTTTTCACTGTAAATGGAAATAAGGGAAACCCTAATTGCATGATGTTATTTCCTCCACTGTCCCATCATTCCAGAAATTCAGAGGCATGTACCACCAAATGCAGTAATTTCATTTCACAGTCATGCTTGATTTTTTTTCGTTAGCCTCTTATGATGATCACTGCACAGTGTATTAAAATACATAGACACATCATTTTAAAAGTATATTTCAGTGCTCCAACGGACTTTACCTGCTGGTTAAGATTTAGACACTGAAGGATAATGACCTATAATTTAAAATAATGCATAGATCACTTCAAGTAGAATTTCCAAATAAATTAGAGGTAATCTTTTTCTTAGCCAGCATAGTACAGCTGCCACCCTTTGTCTTGCTGCTGGAAAGAGCAATTTCTGAAGTTAAGCACATTCCTGAACATGTTGTTCAGCCTCCAGTCTTTTTTTTTTTTTTTTTTTTTTTTAATTTTTTTTTTTTTTTTTTAATAGAGGCATGCTTTATTTATTTATTTATTTGTTTGTTTTGTTTATACATGCACTGGGTACAGTCAGAAGCGCGGGAGGGTGAGAGAATTCACCAGAGCCAGAGCGGGGAGCAGAGCAGGCAGAAGGGCCGAAGTACACTGCTGAGGGGAGCAGCGGGCGGCAGGAGAGGTCTGCGCGCCATGTGGGACCCTCCTCCGGTGGCCGGGGAGCAGCCGGGGATCGAACCGGCGCCACAGAGGCTGCGGGCAGCTTCGCAACCCAGTGCTCAACCGCTGCGCCACCGGGGAGGCCCCAGCCTCCAGTCTTATCAGTGTTGCAGCTTTCACGCCCAGCTTCCTGGCCACATAAGGAAGGTTAAAATGACTTTTGTCACTTTCTGGCTTTCTTCTCCATTAATACTACCGAGGAAAGTTGGAATGATTTATAAAATATACACACTATTCTAGAGGTTAAAAAGGAACACTTCCATGTTTTGGTTTGTTTAACAATGTTTTACTTTGTTTTTCACAAAAAGAATCACTCTTTCCTTTTCCTTCAAGCAGAGAAAGCAGTACCTCTGGCTTGTACCCAATGCCATTTCACATTTTTCTCCCAAAAGCAGTGTAACTTCCTTTGAATCAGTTCCTTTCTCTATCTTATAGGTATTTTTTTCACATTTGTATAACTTGCAGGTCTGTTCAGAATGAAGAAACTACCTGGAAGCTGTATTAGCATTTCCATCGGCCACCTAGGAAAAAGTTTTTGCTGCTTTTAAATAATGAAACCTAAGAGATTGGGATGATTACATCCTGTCATCCTTGTCTCCAGTTTTTTTGAACATTCATGGGATCTGGAAAACCTGATACAACTTCTCATAATCTGTGAGCCCTGGTGCTATGTATTTCATCCCATTTGACAAGTATTTAATGAGTGTTTACTATGTACCTGACTGTCTGTGATATATCAGTGACCAAGGAGACAAAAGCTTTCCCCTTGTCCTACTGGTGGAAGGATCACTGCAATTTTTGATCCCATAAGTCACTGCCTATTTCATGGTGTTCATGGGTGACTAAAATTCAAAAACAAGAGATGGCACAAGGATTGCAAATAATTTCCAAATGAGTGCAAACTCTAATTTATTAGTAGTGGCGGCCTGAGCATTGTGTTTAGGATTCTGAGCCTATTTCTGGGCAAGCAGTATTGTACTGTGTTAAGTGAACAATGTTACATCATGTATTTGCCATTCCTTACCAAGACAATCCCCATGTTAGTGTTGATGGTTAGCGTTCATGGTGGTAGAATAAATGTTTTCAGCTGTCCCCACTTCCTTTACTCTTCAATTTGATCGTTTCTTTCACATTCCGAGAGTCTGGGAAAATGGAGCATGGGGGCCTCCCCGGTGGCGCAGCGGTTGAGCGTTGGGTTGCGAAGCTGCCTGCAGCCTCTGCAGTGCCGGTTCGATCCCCGCCTGCCCCCCGGCCACTGGAGGAGGGTCCCACATGGCGCGCAGACCTCTCCTGCCGCCCGCTGCTCCCCTCAGCAGTGTACTTCGGTCCTTCTGCCTGCTCTGCTCCCCGCTCTGGCTCTGGTGAATTCTCTCACCCTCCCGTGCTTCTGACTGTACCCAGTGCATGTATAAACAAAAAACAAACAAACAAATAAATAAATAAAACATGCCTCTAAAAAAAAAAAATTAAAAAAAAAAATGGAGCATGGACTTTCAATGAACATAGTGTTCTTTTCAGGGATCAGGTGCTTTTGCTTATAACTCATGATACACAAATCAAGCTAATACATTCAGCATTGAAGGAGGGGGTATCCAATCTGATCCATCAGATGGTTAAGATATAATTTATTCAGGGTCCTTGGCATGTAAAAATATCAGAAATGTTTCACTACTGTAGGGGAAAGTAAAAAAGTATCAGGCTTTTCTGCCCTCCCGCCATTAGGATTGATGGTGGAACCCTGTGGTCCTGAATGCATGCCTGATGGTGGGCACCTAGAGTAGGGTGTGGGCATGCGTAGGTGGGTACCCCTGGGCTGAGAGACTGAGCTTATAAGGACGGCATCACGGGGACGCCAGCAGAGCGAAAAGAACGAGAGAGTGGAAAG